AATGATTCTAATTCTAGAACTTTAACCCAAGGAAATAATTTTATGGAAGAAACATACAGATACAAGGATACAAGTAGTCATTAAAGCATGAGACATAAAAGTCAATCATCTGACAATAAAGAAACACTTAAAATAAATTGATACAGCAAAGCAACCCAAATCCATTGTTGTTGAGTGGATTCTGATTTAAGGTGACCTCATGTGTTTCAGAATAGAACTCTGTGTAATATTGGGGTTCAGTGATGGATATATGGAGTTTCATTATATCAATTTCTCTGCAGTTGTTATTGTTGTAATATGCCCTCGAGTCCATTTCGACTCAGCGACCCCTCCTTGGGTTTCCGAGGCAGTATCACTGCGGAAGTAGATTACCTACCCATCCTTCTGAGGATTGGCGGTGGGTTTGAACCACCAGCCTTCCTGTTAGCTGTCAAATGTTTGAAATTTTCCATTAATTTTTTTTTAATTTCTAGTTCAGACTTTGTACATTGAAATTCAGATTCTATTCGATTGTCCTATATTTTTACTCAGTACAGAGAACCTTCTATTTATTGATGTCTTTTGACCATTACTCGGTTCCACAATTAAATGCTGAATTAACACTAGAGTAATGTTCAGACACCAACAAAAGATATTTAAGAAGCGTGTCAAGAAACCAAGAATCTCCAGGATACAGAGGTGTTAAGTGGTTCAAAAGCTAGTACTAACAGTAATTTTCAATATTAATGTAGAAGAGTAAATTGTAAACATAGTTGCAGTGTAATCTGGGCAAGAAACTTGTATAGTGAAATATGAAGTTAAATTCTGTTGATAGTTAAATTAAGAAGGAGCAGAAAGGAAGGAGTGGGTAGTAAGGAGGAATGTCTGGAATGGATTTTACTCGATGGCACATAATAACAACAATATACTGTATCAGGGAGCTCTGGTGGCGGAGTGCCTAAGGCGTTTGACTGCTAACCAGAAGGCTGGTGGTTCAAACCCACCAGCCATTCCTCGGAAGGAAGATTGGGCAATCTACTTCTGTAGTGATACCACCTTGGAAACCCAAGGAGGGGTGCGCTATGAGTTGCAATTGACTCCATGGCAGTGAGTTTAGTTTAGATGCAGTATCAGGTTGCCTAAAGTTACTGACAAGCCTTGAAGAATCAAGAATATTTCATGGAGAAAAAAAAAGAAGGTGGGGACCAGGTTTGCTGGTCCAATAGAGCCTGGTGGAACCACTGAGACTATGGCCCCTAGCTGCCCTTCAGG